AAAAACACTCAGACAACCGTCAGGGGATGCAATTTTCACTATAACACCTGCCTCTGTGTATCGACCTGAGCAGAGGTCGTTTCAAAACTGTTTGTAGTGAAAGACACGGGATTTAGGAGCTCCTCGTACCAAAGAGTAACTGAGTGACCTTAAATCTTTCAATATGCATTAAATAGAATGAAAAATACATTTTTCATTATTTTCAGGTCTCCTCATAATATTTCAAATGTGGAAAAAGGCACACATCTCACAAGGAGACTTCAGTCAGTCAGTTTCTATTAACAAACGTGTGATTGTTCCACACAGTCATCTCATGAAATAAGAACAGACACTGATGTTCAAATTAACTTCAGCTATTTCAAGTATTGCTCGCAGCTTGTTGATATAATTCAACACGTGGTAACACAATGATTAGTATTTGTTCCTCCAAGAGAATATTAAGCATGATAACACAGAATCCAACACACCACTGAAGTGTTATAACTACAAACAAATTAAATAAATAGAATTAGATGAATAGCATTTGACACTGATTGGGATTATGCTGGTTTATGAGGACTTTGACATACTTGTAAAAATGAATTGTTAACTCATTGGTGCCAATGCTTTACTGATGAGCAGGATTAGGTTTAAAGCTTATAAAATATAACAATTTGGCATGATAATGGTCATATGTTATGAGGCAAAGGTTATTCTATTCCAGTTGCCAAAATGTGGAAACAACCATTATCCCTATATGACTTTACTTTGGACGATGGTTTCTATTGTTTGTACAGCTACATACATGATCTACGCTGTTCTTAGATTATGAAACATTAAATGACATCAATGTGCTGACTTTTGTGTTTCACACTAACCATTAAAATGCTAGGAAATGAAAAGTGTTATTTGCCTGCCTTCATGGTTTAAAGATTGGTAAATTCCCTTTAAAATCTTAATTTTGTACTGAAATGACATCCACAAATTAAGACTTGATCAAAGACAGTACAAGATATTTCTGATTCTAGCTACTGTGTGTGTTTCAAATACAAACACAGAAGGGCTGCTGGAGATTTTTCTGAGCTTTGAGACAACTGTGGATTGTTAAGTCCTTATTGGAAACAGACTTTTCTACATTTCCTGTATTAAAATGTACAGTATTGTGGCGGTCCGACCGTCTTTATTGGATTGTACTTTTTCTTCAAGGTTAAGAGTTGCAGACTCTCCTTCTGGGGTGCACCTGCGTATCTTCACAAACAGTAGACTGGTTTCATTCCTGTGGAGTGAAGCGGTAGAGTTAAATAGCAAGAGAAAGAAGATTAAATGAGGGGATGATGGAGGTAGTGAAAACCTGCTGCTGGAGCTGGGACTCAGCCAGAAAGGCCTTGTGATTCCAAACTAGCAGAGGGTGGGAGAGGAAGGAGGATGAATGGCTACTACTCTCACACTGCTGCTGTCTCTCTGCCCAGCCTGGATGGACTGTGGGAGAGACTGAGTGGCAGGACTAGAGAGGGAAAAGGGTAAGAGGAGGAAAAGGGGGGAGCGCTAGCCCTCCAGCTATCAGTACCAGTAGGAGGAGAAGAGAGGGTTTGAAGGGGAGGAGAGAGAAAAACATGAGAGAGAAGGAGGTAGAGCAGATGCAGACTGATTGCATAGGGCTTGAAGGGGAAGGAAGGAAGAGAGGAGACCCTGGCTGCCTCGCTTAGACAGGAAGGTGGATGTTTTGAGTCTGAGAAGGCCGCAGAGACACAGTGACTGTAGTGACACTTGTAAGGTAAGGGGGCATTTTCAATAAGGAGTTTATAGGAAAGTTAAGAGTGGTATATGTTTTCTTAGTGAACGCAGGGGTGTTTGTATTGGTATCAAACTTAGCTGCAGCAGTTTTGTGGGTAAAATATGCAAGAAATATGTCTGATACACTAAGTTACAAGGACGTCATGCTGTTCAACCTTTTGGGGGAAAAACCCTCATAAGACACCAGACTTGTGATCTGATGGATACAAAGCCACTTCTATGAGTTTCTGTGTATTTGAATGCTGGTGCTCATGGTGTCTCTGTGATTAAGTGTGTGTTTTACTGCCTCACGAGATAAGAACGACACACACACACACACACACACACACACACACACACACATGCTCTCTGTGCCAAACCCTGATGACCAATGAATGAGCATCCTTGTAAAACAGAACTCCAAAACAGACGAGTCCACTCTTTCCTTCCCTTCAAATCGTCCCTCAGGCCACTCTCTGCCGCTCTTCTGTTCTACATTAATTCTTTAACAAGCTGCCTTTATGCTGCTCATACAGACATGGCTTCACAGCAGTCAATCTGGATTAGAATGGGATAAGGATGAGATGTTTATGTACTAACAGTAGCTCCACATATGTAGGGCAGCAGATAATGGTTATGCTCACTGATGATGCCAGCTCAGGAGCCTTGAGTGAAGTTTACATGTTGATTTTTTTGTCCAAGAAAGATGTTCAGAATTCAATTCTGTAAGACAGAAGCAGCACGTTGTCCCATTTAAAAAGTGATGGAAGAAGTACTCAGATCATATACAAAGAAAAAGGTCGCAATAAATCTGCTTTAAAGTCTCACCATCAAACCAAGACCAAGTCAAAAAACTGCAATTTTTCTTAATATGATATTCAGAACCACTTCAGTTGAACTAACTTTTTATGCTAGAATAGCTCATTTCAGAGAGCTATATATGAAATAGTTATTTTTGCTGATGTGCTGGTTTATTGGCAGTATTTTAAGGTTTTAGCTGGTTGACTTGGAGTATACAGAATCAACTACTCTGTATACTGTTTGTTTCTATAAGAGCTGCTGTTTATCCTCTTCCTGATAACATATTTTCTTTATTTAGACACTATTTTCTCAGGCTTGTTCTTTGTTTAAAAAAAAAAAAAAAAAGTTTCATATATAGGTTGTTGGCAGAGATGTGACCAGCATGCATCTGGTTCATATAGGTCTGCAGGTATGGGACCAACATTTATCCGTAGGCATCTATGGAACAGATGAGACATGAGGGGCCATGATTTGTTTGTTCTTTGTTTGCTGGCTTTGGATAAATAAACCACAAGAAATCACAGAAACATATGTTACTCCAATGGACCTTTTTTTTTGTTTTAGCTCTGTGTACATTTCACTCTTATGGTTCTTCATTTGTGTTTGGTTCCAAGTCTGTTTGATGTTGGTCACAAGAGGCATACAAAGTCATTACAATAGATAGTATTTTATAAACCCATTACATGTTGTGGAGGTGCAGTCCTGTTCTCAGAGGGTGTTGTAACTGATAATCTGCTGTAAGTGACAGAAAGTACACTAACAATTACACAACAAATCATGATCCCTACATCTTTTACATGCAAGTGTTGAAATGAGAGCAAGGTGACCGTCCAAACTGATGCAGCCAACTGGATGCCGTTTCTCCAGACTGGTTTAAGACGGAGAGGAACAAGGAGAGACAATGGCAGCAGCATGGTCAAAGGATGTTTCTATTTGAATAGTACACCACTCCCACCAGTTCCCTTCCACGTCCCAAGAACAATACTGAATAGAGGATTGCCTGATGTCATCCGGCAACGCTGCTACTGATCCGACAAGAGTCATAAGTCCTCTCCCTCCAGTTCCGGTTCTGAACTAAAATTGTCCTAAACACTGGAATTCAAACTTTAGACAGATTTGGTCGTAATATTTTGGAAATGTAGCTTCATTTATCTGCAAAAACAATCACTTATTTTGTCCTTTGGGGGTCAAAGGGGATTTGGTGTCCACTTCCTGTGTCATGGTCTAGTTTTGGGGTCTTTTGGCACAGCCTAATCATGCCAACAAAAGAAGAGCTCTGTCAATGCATTCTTGTAGTGGAGAAACAAACAAAAGAAGCATCTTGAGTCAAACATAACCACTCCTCTTTTGTTGTGTGCAGTGGCTGCAAACAAAGGCAGCTTTTCTGTTGTACAAGAACCCAAACAGAGTGACGAACAGCACGTCTGCTGTGTGCAACAGACATTAATCATTTTAGTATATACAGCTGTCTGTTTTGTGATGAAGTTATTTAGAAGAAATGTTTTTATTTTGACATTTCCATCTTGCTACATTCATCACTGTCTCTATAAGTCAACATGAAACAGTTTTCATCTATTTTCTACCCTTCAAAAGTCTCGCACCATGACCAATTTGGACCATTTCCCACAGCTGTATGTGTGACTGTTATCATGGCTGCACAGATGGGACTGCCCACCCTGCAACTGTGTGTTTGGGAGATGACAATTTGACATTCGGTTTCATTAGCTCTTTCTGTATTATCAGAATCATGTCAAATTTTTGACAGTACTGAAAGGATTGAGATAACTGTCGTGAATGTTTATGAATATATATTTGATCATTGGTAATTGTTCTCCTTTTGTTAAAATGCTGCTTGATTTACCACACTGGACACACCAGATGGTACAGAATCAAATTTATAGCATGCCAATACGCTAACCACAATAAACCTGCATGTTTCTTTCTCTGGATGGTAAATCCAGCTGAAGCCATTATCCTCCATTGATTGAACAAAAAAAGCTATTTAAGATTAGCAGCTTGGGCTTTGGGTAATTGTAATGGGTAATCTTTTTCACCATTTTCTATTGTTTATTTGAAGGATGATGTCAAATTTAAAACAATAAGACCGATAACACAATGTGAAAGAAAATAGTTTAAGCTCCAAACAGGGTTCAGTGATGCCAATTAACAAAAGGAATTTGACTTGTGATTGACAAGTTACTACCACGGCAGCCTGTCAACCAGGAGAAAGACAAAGCAATGCTCATCCACCCTTTTGTCCAAATACGGTCCCTGCTTGTTTCAAAAACCAAGATGGTGGTTCAAAAATGAAACAGAGGCTTCATTAACTTCTTTTTAACAGTCCATGCATTACACATAGTAAGAGACTAAATCTCAAGTTATACAAAAATAAAACATGATGTTCTGTCTGACTTAAATTCATTCATATGTTTGTTTATTGTCCTCAGATGTCATGGCGCCCGACCTACCGAAGCTCCAAGTTTCGAAATGTCTACGGGAAAGTGGCCAACAGGGAGAACTGCTACGATGGCATCCCCATCACCAAGAATGTCCACGACAACCACTTCTGTGCCGTCAACTCTAAGTTTGTGGCAGTTGTCACAGAGAGCGCCGGCGGGGGGGCTTTCATCGTTATACCTGTATCCCAGGTAACTGCTTCTGTCTCAGTCTATTTGTTGTTTCTCTCATGACCAGTATACTTTATAGTACTCTTTATCGCTGTTGGTTTTAATACTAATTGGTACACTGTACAAAATGTCGAGTGACTCATTGGGAGTCAAAGTTTTAGGGTTGTTGAGGCATGTTTTTCTACATCTTTGTTCAGAGGTTGTATTTAGAGTTTTTTTCTTGCTTTCTAGTATTTAACAACACAATAAAATCTGAAGTTTGAAGGAAGTTTTCTCAGAAATTCCCCCCCTTCTATCGCAGAGAATGCCAGCCTTGAATCTTAGTGCCAGGATTTGAAGCCAGACTTGTAAAAGGGTAGAACTGCCGAAAAGGATCACATACAGGACATGCTGTTATTAACCATAAACAAGACAAAAGGGCAGTGTTGTAATGGAAATGTGAAACTTGAGTATGTTTACATTGCGCACATGCAGGGCATGCACAGGGCTTTTACAGGAGTATTTACTATACAACAGAATTGCAGATTGATACTTGTGAAAAGTGATGAAGACTCATAAGTGTGTTGTGATATTGACTTTGATATAGGGGGTGTAGAACCAGTTTTACTATTAATTGACATTTCTCTGGTGAAGCTAGTTGTCGCTGGGTTGTTTTTATTGAACTGGTAGATGAACAGTACAGAACATGAAGGTGTTTAGTGTGCATCTACTTCACTTTGTGTACTACAGTGTGGTCCTGAGAAACCACAAAGTGCTTTGCCTCATTACGAGACACTCTCGCCTCTCGGTACTTGAAAAGTTATTTGCTGCCAAACAAGCTCGAGTCAGGCTGCTATCAGGCAGAAAACGTTTCAGCAAGCTGAACTGCTCTGCTGTGTTAAGAGAGAAGGAACACCTCAGCTACATTTGAATCAAGATCATCATGACTGATGGTTTCTTTATCATGGTGCACTTGTCAGATGTATAATTTTACATTTATTCAAAAAACAATTGATACAATTCTCTATACATCAAATAGAGACATTATCACTTGTTGTAAACTATCTGAAATTCATTTTCCAAAATCAAACTTTGTTTACTCAGATGTGCAGATGGGCTGCTGGTGATACTGAATCATAAAGATTCACTCAAAAATAAATTAAAGGATGCATTGATGTGTCAATGACAGGTGTCGTAAGCTAACAAGTAGGTTTTTTAATCAGTCCAGTTATTAAGAGGGAACTCTTGTGTATCCCAAAATGGACAAATCATTCATATAAAGAAAAAGCTGATATTTATGGTTTTATTTAGCCGTATGTGCTGTTAGATCAATTGAAAAAAAAAATCACTTGTGATTGACAACCTATTCTGATTATTGGGTAAACCTGCACTGACTTAGCAATAGCTCTTTCTAATCTACTATTTCAATCTTTCAACACTTATTTTATTATATAACTGAATATTAAACTGTGGTATTTTCTATGCTGAGTCATCTCGATGCATGACCCCATCCCACTTGATCGATTTCCTCCTCGTCAGAGTATTGCTCTCAGGCATTTCCTCTGGTTTCTGCTGAGGTGACAAGTTCATAAATGGAGTTTGTCAAATTCAGCAGCAGCATATGACAGCATCTGTTGGACGAGGGCTGCTGTTTTATGCAGTATCCTGATATCAAAACCCAAATCAGCAAACTGAAGTGAGCTAAGTTTGTATAAAACTCTTACTTATTAACTGATCGGTTATTTTTCCCACGAATCTTGTGGTGACCCAAAACTACATCCAGATATTGCATTCTTTACTTCAGCAAAGAGGACCAATAAGTTTTCTGCTGAAAGGGAAATGTTGGAAAAGTTAAGTATTGCTGAAAACTATTTGTTATTGGTTATTTCTACAGAACATGAGGGCAGTAATTAGTCATTTATGATGTGCGTATTTATTCAACCAGCTTTGAACAAACAGGTATCTAATGGCTTTAGACACTTATTGCATCAATAAAGGTTCAGTGAACAATTGGCTACATGCAAAATGTCAGACATTTAGGTTTTTCTCAATGTAACCCAAACTGTGTAATCAATGACGGAGGCCAAACTGATCTAAAGGAGGTTTGGTCGCAAAGTGAAGTCATCATTCACACAAAATCAATAGCTGTTAAGTAGATGTCATCATCATGAGTAGACTGTGGAGTGCAATGGTTATTAAGATCACTCAGAAAAGGTAAAAAAATGACAAAAAGACAAACAAGGTTTGGACTTGAGTGTTTTAAAAATCAGTAAAGAAAGAATCTCCTTTTAGTTTCCACATCTTTCCACTTGTTATCTTGTCAAATGAGCTTGTAATGCCTCATCACAGATACAAACAAATCAGTGGGGTGTTGGGTTAATGGCGAGGTGTGAGCCTGGCAGATATGTTAAGATGACAGCCGGCGAGACGGCCATATGGTTGCTCAAAGGCAACTCTGCTTCCAAGCAGAGGGACTACCGCTGGCACCACCTGGTACACAGACCGGCCCCCCAAAGTGACAGATAATGTCACAAACACCTCTTCATCACCTCAGACAAAGACAAAGAGTGCAGTGGGTGTGGTCCATATTTAATTACTGCAAAGCTACCACTAGTACTATCCTTCACGTTCACTGCTACCTTATTTATATTTTATATGATGATTTATGCAACATATTGATATAATAATAATAATAATAATACTTTATTTGTATAGCATTTTTCTATACAAGTAACAAAGTGCTTTACAACAGAAAATAAAAGCAGAGAGACAATTAAAGCAACAGGTAGAGAGTAAACAAGCAGACAACAAAATCAGAATAAAAATAAGAATAATTACCAAAATCACAGAGTAAAAGCATTTTTATAAAAGAATGTCTTGAGGAGGGATGTAAAACAAGGGACTGAATCTGCAAGTCTGATCTCCTCTGGCAGGCTGTTCCAAAGTCTGGGGGCTCTAACAACAAAGGCCCTGTCCCCTTTAGTTTTTAGCCTGGACTTTGGAACAGCCAGTAGGGCTCTGCCAGAGGATCTCAAGAAGGGGCCAGCCCATGTTGTGCCTTAAAAGAAATTAAAATAATTCTAAAATCAACAGGGAGCCAGTGAAGGGATTCTAAAATTGGTGTGATATGGGCACATTTGTTTGTTCTTGTTGAAAGCCGGGCTGCTGCATTTTGAATGGTTTGAAGACGGTGGATTGATTTTTTTACTTAGACAGGTGTATAATAATTTACAGTAATCAAGCCTGGAGGAAATGAAGGCGTGTATGACTTTCTCCAGATCTTTTTGTGACATGAGGGATTTGACCTTTGCTATATTTCTGAGCTGGTAGAAACAGGACTGTAAAATTTTCTTCACTTGCGGCTGAAAACACAAGTCCTGGTCAAAAACAACCCAGAGGTTTCTGGCTGAGGGCTTCACATAATGGGCTAGTTATCCTAGGTGTGCAGTAATTTGTTTTCTTTTTGATGGGGGACTGATGACTATGACTTCTGATTTTGCGTCGTTGAGTTGTAGAAAGTTGTCTGACATCCATGATTTTATTTCTGAGAGGCACTTGAGGAGAGTAGTTGTATTTGAATGGTCACCAGGTGTAATCGGGAGGTAAAGCTGTGTGTCATTGGCATAACAGTGAAAGTTGACATTATATTTAAGGCTGATGTTACCACGAGGGAGCGTGCAAATTGAAAATAGTGTTGGACCTAAAACTGAGCCCTGGGGGACCCCATGTACTAACTCTGCTGTTGACGACACTGACCCAGTCATTGACACCGCAAAACTTCTGTTCTGGAGGTAAGACCTGAACCAGTTTAAGGCCATATCACTGATACCTGCCCATTTTTCGAGTCTGTTGATAAGTATGTTGTGATCCACTGTATCAAACGCAGCGCTCAGATGCAGAAGTACCAGTATGGAGCAGTTACCAACATCTTCAGCCAAAAGAAGGTCATTAAAAACTTTAAAAAGAGCTGTCTCAGTGCTGTGGAGAGATCAGAAGCCAGACTGGAGTTTTTCAAATAAATCGTTGTTTGTTAAATGAGCTTGAAGTTGATTGAAGAAAATTTTTCAAGGATCGTGGCTGAGAAGTGAGAAGTGCATGCGCATTTTAGCCAGGTGTGAGGGCTAAGAATGCGACTGAATCGCTCAGCTCCACGGCCAAGGGTGGGGACTGGACCAGAAATAAAAAGAGTATTTCCTGCATCCTTCAAAACTTGAAAAAAGGACATTAAAATCTGTTTTGGTGCATTCAGATTCCCGACGTGATGTGTCATGATATGAATGAATCACGTCAATGAGTTATCAGGCATTAAAGCAAAAATATAATGCATTAGTCAAACAGAAAAGTACTTGTTTATTCATCACTTGATCGTTCCACTACTTGATGAGGCAGCTGATTGGAAAGCACCAGCAGCATGTACTGAAACGTGTGATAAACTACAGCATCAATATATCAATCAGCTCAGTATTCATAAAAGCTTAATTTGCAAAATGCTGCCATATATCTCTTCTTAATTAAACCGGTCTCATAGTCAACACTTTCTTATAACTGGCTGATGCTCAAAGTCCCACATGCAAACACTGCTTTTAACTTCTCTGCTGCTTTCACATGGAACACTTTGGACCAGACAAATTCACACACTTGTTCCTGTTGGTCACTTTAAAACTATGATCTTAAACTTCTCTTCCTTTGAATGTAACTTTTTTAATTGTGTTGTTGTAATTTACTCTCTCGTTGTAATCTCGACATCATTGAGAATGAGGGCATGCGCTCAATGATTCTTCGTAATTAAAATAAAGGGTGAGTGAATGAATGAAAAAGTATGACTCAGCCTGTTCAGTGTAGGTTAACAAATGGTTAGCAGTATGGGAGAATATGCCTCAGAGTATTTTTAACTACTAGGATTTATTGTGTTTTGAATCAACAAGATGTATCTGTGACGTGTTTCTGAAAAAAACTGCTGAAATGGAATCAGGAAAAGAAAAAACATAATTGCAAATATTGTACTTGTACCACATTGTTCATTTCCTCCTGTTCTGAAATTCATTCTTTTACACTGTTGCATATTAAACTCAGAGGAGTCACTTCTTATTGTTGAAACATTAATCTCCTGAAGAAATACTTCTATTAGATAATGATGAACTTTAATAATACAGTAGCCACAGAACAGCTGTGGTAGGCCTGGTTAATGAGGAATCATTAAGAATCACATACCAATGAGAGTTGGTAGTAGTCTTAGTGTGTTTCCTGTGTAGTGCTGGAGAAAAATGTGTACCTTGTCTGCACGTCTTTGCATCACCAGGCGTGCTCATCAATGACCCAGCATCAGGAAATGAGCTGAAGAAAGATCATGAGGCCTAACGAAGGTCTGTGCCTCCTGCGTGTTATTCATAAATGTCAGCAACACTGTTCTCAGTCATTCATCCACCCTTTTCTTAACACAATAAAACCAAAGTACATTACATCTCAGGACTAATCTTTTATGTTCCATTACGTCGTCTGATTTCCTCTTAATCCCTCATAAACCATTTTAACCTCATGGTTCCCAACAGACATTATTTCTCTGCAGGTAATTAGTTCCATCTATAAATGAAGTCCCTCCGATCCCAAGTTATTAAGGTTTTGAGGCCATATGAAAATCTCACAGTCACTCCAACATTCATAGAAAAAGCTATGCGTCATTCAAACTTTCCTTTTTTTTTTCCATTCCATTTTCCTTTTACGTTCCCATTGCAGACAGAGGGTATTTTATAACATGTTAAATATACCCTTATGCTAGACAAGTTGAGTTTACAATTGATTGTAGCCATGGCTGCGCAATTAAGTAAAATTTCACTGTTATCATGATATGAGCAATTGCAATAAACGCGTCGCAAAATTCTGATTTTATCTCCGTAAATTGGAAACCAAGCAATGCTTTCTCAGTACGCACATTTTAATGAATTAGGAATGTATGCTAACACCAGTTTGATGCAGTCAGATGAAGTTCAAGCTAGCTTTATGCTACCCTCAGATTAATGGGTGCCGATTTAGTGGTATAAGAACAGGTCAAACATGAAGCATAGCAGATTGTCATTAAAACTGTGTGTTATAGCTGATTTACATTCTTTGACTTTTTGTTAGGTTATCGCACTTCTTATCATTATTGTAATATTCAGCAGTATTGCATTGCACACTTATATCATGTAGGCGTAACTGTAGCAACAGCTCATTTTGGCCTGATGTCAAAGAGCCTTCATCGTTTCCCGCACTCACTTCTACTTCAACGTCCTCCTTTGTATCTCATTTTAGTATCTTAGTCACACTGTCTGCTATTCTCCTTTCCTCTTATATTGACTGAATTGATGTCACACTTCACCGGTGTCAGGATTTGGCAAGCGGTGGTTTTATTGGTTCTGGCAGATGTCTCTTAACTTGTTAGCGAAGCCTTCAGCGTTTCTGGAAAAGTGTTACCTCAAGCTTATTAAACATTTTTCTGTGGGCAGACTGAGAATACATTGATATGAATTGTGGCTCCTATTTTCAAACCCACCGTGTTTCCTGCAAGTGGCCATCTCATTGAGCAGCCATACATACAATATAATACACGATTCATTACTGTAATACATAAAAAGACAAGAAATAACATCCTAAAACAGCAAATATTTGCCACAATTGCCCACAAACAGTCTTTTAAAATCACCTTGAAAGCATCCAATGAGTGCAGTTCATGAACATTCAGGTTCTTTTTGTAACTGCTTCCACATAAAGGGAGCAGACTGAACTCCTTTTTCCCCATTTCTGTCCTGAGTCCTGACCTTTGGAACAGAGAGTAAGAGAAGTTCCTGGGGCTGAAGATCGTAAGTTCCTGTGCTCTTCTCTTTGATGTAGGTCAGAAGGTATGAAGGAAGTAGAAGTTAAATAGACTTGTAAATAGGAATACGAAAGGGTTTCAGTCTCCAGTCTTAATGGTCTGTAATGGATTACAGACTCACACATTGTTAAAACAGACAGGTTGCGTTAGAGATGTCCTGTCAAGCCCAGTGAACTGCTGTTTGAACTACCAAGAACTAGTTTGTGGACGGTTTTTCAATACTTGTAACTCTGGGGCAAAGAGCCAATGACAGGCAGAGGCGGAGAGACTTTGTTGGTGATGGGAATGACTGACTGATGCATGATTCTTTTAACTCAAAGTTTATTCTGAGAATATATCACTGTAGTATTTCACTTTTTACTGCTCATGTTTTTTATGAAATTGAAGTTTTCAGTTTGGAGGAGGAGTGCAGTGAGAACACATCATTGTCTTTTTGAAGAGAAAGATGCAGAGAGGTTGTTTATACCATTTTAATACCTTACTTAAAACAGAAATAAACATCCAAAGGAGGCTTGATAAATTCTCGTGGTCCAGTGAGGACAGTATGTAAAAAAAACAAAAACACACACACAGGATTTCAGTATGACCTGTCGCTCTAAAACAAATCTCACTGGAAATGAAAAAAAAAGAGGTCAGTGTGGATTGAAGTGACATCAAACGTTGATGACATCATGACCGACATTTGGAGGAGGTTTCTGTCCTCTGTTGTTATGAGTCACTGCCCCTCTGTGGACTCGGTGGGTTATTGCAATAACAATAATGTAGCCTCAGACGTCCCTGCTCAATAACCAGCTCTGTTTTCTCAAATCATCTCACTGATGCAATTTGAATTTTATTGTGTTGTATTACTGTTACATGTGCAGCAATAAAAGCACAGGGTAGTTTTGTAAGGGGTTAGGTAAGCGGTTAGCGGGATTCAAAACCTACAGCAGAAAATATCATCCATTCAATGACTTTCTTTCATCTTTTTTATCCTTTATTATGAGGTCTGTAAACAGACAGATTATCCTCCTTTAGGTTGTTGTTTTGTGTGGTTAATGTCACTTGTGTTTTAACACAGCTGCTGTTTACCGGTTGTCTTACCCTTTGGAAAAGCATACAGAAATAATATTGATATATGCTGATTTTCTTTGGAAGTGAAATCTTCAAACAGAAGTAAATATTAATTAGCGTTCTTCTGTCACTCTGTTTCAGTCGGGCCGCCTGGACTCTCATTACCCCAAAGTCTGCGGCCACCAAGGCAATGTGCTGGATATCAAGTGGAATCCCTTCTTTGAAAACATCATAGCATCCTGCTCGGAGGACACCTCGGTAAGAGAAACAAATGTGATCACACATACAAGTGTATAGAGGCCAGGATTATGACTTGGAGGCGTTGAAGAAGTGAAGACATATTGTATCTGTGTAATTATTTCAGTTTGTATAATACTGAGATTGACAGCTGTCATCACTGAAGACAAAAAGCAATTTATCGAGAGGTTCACTTAATCACACAGTTTGCATCAGACACAAGCTTGTGATTGGACATCATCTTGCAGCTGCTCTCGTTGTTGTAGTTGTTGTTGTTGTGGACAGATGTGGAAAAAGCCTTTGAGCAAGTCGAGTGTTCAGTCACTGACTACATAACTGACAATGAATCCAGTATAGAATTTCATTCACCACCATCACTCTTAATCTCAGATGTTACATGACATAGTCTAGTCTAAGACCCAGTTGGCCTTTTTTCCCAGTTCATGCACCTGTCACATTTCTGTAATGATCATAGTGAAGCCATGGCTGCAGCTCTGTATCCTGTAGAGTACTTTCACTTGTTGCAGGATAATCTCCTCCGGTCATACACAGAGCCTCGAGCCATGGCTGTAATCCAGATTAATCCTAATGCAATGGGCTGCATTGATACCCTGTGCTGCTTTTGATCAGAGGGATGTCTAGCTGTGTCATGTTGATTATAGTTAAGAGTTCATATTAAGGAGTTATGAAGAATATGACATAAAAAAGTACGACACTGATGACATGTTCTTTAAGAAAATGCCTGAAGGTGTTTTGGTTCATTATGATGCTGCACTGTTTATTTATGTGTATGTTTTGTGTATGTATGTGTGTATGGATGACTGTGGCAGGTGAGAGTATGGGAGATCCCAGAAGGTGGTCTGAGGCGAAACATGACAGAGGCGGTGCTGGAGCTGTATGGTCACAGCAGACGGGTGGGTCTGATCGAGTGGCACCCCACCAGCAGCGGCATCCTGTTCAGTGCTGGCTACGACTACAAGGTACAACATCAGTTACTCCAAGCACCAATGAGCTGAATCAACACGATATATATAATGTCAGAACTGTGAGCATTACTGACTTAAATAATATTACATCAATGTGATAAGAAAGACGACCTTTTGGATACTCAAATACTGAAATACTGATGAAATACTCACCAATACTGTTAGTATTTGAGTAGGTATTTGTCTGACTTAAAGAGCTAGGTTGTGATGTTGAAAACTGTTTTTTTAAGAGATGTCACATTTTCTGATTGAAAAAGTATAGAAAATCTCATCAAACAGCAGTGATTTTCCAAAGAACACATCTGGGACATAAAGAACTTGTTACTGTTCATTTCACTTTTATAAGCTCATGAAATATAACTCTCTTTATGAATTGACGCTATACAAATAATGATTGATTGATGAGCGCTTCAGCCGATTAATAACTCAACACAAACAATTTGTCAGGTCCTGATCTGGAACCTGGAGATCGGAGAGCCGGTGAAAATGATCGACTGCCACACCGATGTCATCCTCAGCATGTCCTTCAACACAGACGGCAGCCTGCTGGCCACCAGCTGCAAAGACAAGAAGCTGCGTGTCATCGAGCCGCGCTCTGGGACAGTCCTGCAGGTGAGAGGGAGGAGGGGGTCTTTTTTGTATTGAGACTGCGCACATAAAATATATGTATAATTCTGTATGACTGATGCTAATGAGGAAGTCAAACAAATAATAATCATAATATTTTCGCCTGTAGTGAACCTCTTAAGTACCTTAATAATTGACAATCATAGTGTGCCTAAACTAGAGCCTGATTACACCCCCATTGGCAAAAGTATTTGAACATTTAATTTGCTTGAATTAGGGCCAGAGCTGTTGTTCAAATTAGCAAAGTTCTTATGCCTGTACTGAGTGAAAAGTGTGTTCTTCCATCTTTGACACAAACTTTTAGAGAATGTGCTTTCCTCTGGCAGAATGAGTATACACTCACACACACTAAGTAAGGGGAAAAGACTGGTCTGCACAGAGCAACAACCTCGAAGATCTCAAAATAGGATCTCGACATTAAGCCAGACTTTATCGGCCAACATCAGAAGCAGACCCCACTAATGCTTTTGTGACTAAATGGGAGAAAATCCACCAGTCAGCTTCCAAAATCTGGTGGGAAGCTTGAAACCAGAAGAGTGGATGCTGTAATCAGAGCATATGAGAGCTCATGGTTTTGGAATTAGATGCTCGACACTAAGATATTGTGTATCATACTGGACCAATCGTCGCTCATATCTTCAGCAGGCGGTGAAGACCTTCTGGTGGTTTGGGAAAATATTTATCGAAGAGATTTCATTAATGTCAACCCTTTCATCATGTAGTGTTCAAAGACAGACTACACTTCATCATTTCCAAAATGTTTGCTACTCCTAAATGAAACCAAAAAATTTGAAGCTGGTCCAGACCACTTCTCAATCACTTCATGTTTGACCTTGGCGCTTTCACCGCCTGATGACCATGAAATAATTTCTGATTAGACCCATTTCCCGCACCCCCGCTGCTCCAAGTGGAGCTGATCAAGGCCAGGCAGCAGGAGGAGGGGGGATGGGGACAAATCATGAAACTTTTCTGTACCTGAAATATCGATTTATCTACAAATAATTCCAACATAGTCTACATTTCAGTAGTTTATTTAATGAATTAATGAGATATAGTCATGCTCAGATGGTGAAAACTATATGGAATATTGAATCCCACATCTTAGCTTAAGAAATGGACCAGTCTTTACCCCTTAGTTTACATAAATGTAGCGTAATGTTAGTGTCATAATCAAATCTATTAAAATCCTAATCCTGATTAAATCAAATTTCTTGAGTTCTGCACTGAACACCTTTTCTTCTTCTGTGATTTTAATGTTGCACTAGTCCATACTGCTAATTAAATAACATAATGATTCATTCTGCAGCCCTCGTATTATAGAATGAACTGTCACTGTGGGAGTATGCACATTAAAGCATTGCTCTTTCTTTGTGTTCTGCTCCACCAGCATGCCAATTGTAAGAACCACCGAGTGAACAGAGTGGTGTTCTTGGGCAACATGAAGCGACTGCTCACCACAGGGGTTTCTCGCTGGAACACCCGGCAGATCGCTCTGTGGGATCAGGTCAGACAACACCTCCATATGGCTCATGCCTGTTGTGCCAGAGTGGGTGGAGCGAGTGTGTGTGGGTGTGTTTTTTTTTCTAATTGCTTGTGTGTGTTTCTTTAGGAGGATTTGTCCATGCCTATTGTGGAGGAGGACATAGACGGCCTCTCAGGACTGTTGTTTCCCTTCTATGATGCAGACACACACATGTTGTACCTGGCAGGCAAGGTCAGTGCTGAATCTCGGCAAGGGTCACAGCAAGAAAATTATTTTCATGACTGTAATAAAGCTCAGATATTTTGACAAATCTTTCTACCATTAAGTCTATTCAAGGAATGAAACTAAACAGTAGTGGCAGAAATCCAACACATTGTCATGTGTGTCGTTATTGTTATCTGATCACCAAGCAAAGAAAGTATATCAGACATTTTTTAGTTTGGCTAACACTCCTAGACATAATAATCCACTGTAGTTAAGGATGCCCTTTTTTATATTACCTGAGCATACATTCATAATGTGCTGTAATAAATCATCAAGAGAGCTGTACAATGGTTAAACAGGTTTCCAAAAGTGCAGCCACTACATCCAATAAAAGGAGCAATATGTAACTCTGACATGTAGCGTTTAAAATTGGCACTCTCACCTCTCACCATTTTTCAAAAGCAACTCCAATATTTATCCTGGTTTTGCCATGATTCTGGTTGTGGAGCATATTTGAAAAATTCCAAATCATTTTAGGTCGGCTAGAATCGTTCTATCTGAACCAGTTCCCTTGTCTGCTTCCATCGCTGCACATGTTGGTCTGCCGTTTGCCTGGCAAACTGAGGGCGTCCAAATGGTCTTAAAATTCATTTAGGTCATATGCCTGACTTTTGTTGATTGAAATGTTCTCGTTTATCAGAATTAATGTTTTCTGTATATGAGAACAGCTTTCAGAGTTTATTCACATTAACCTGAAAAATAATCCGTCACCTATTTGAGATGCCTACGTTGTAAAAACTTGCCACATGTTCCTTTTTTTTTTTGCAGTAACCACTGTGACAAGCACTGCTAAAAGCTGTTAGGTTGTTCATATGTGTTATGAGCTGGTTTGATTTTTGCTCTACAAATTGTCAGTATTCTTCCTTTATTTAATTCTTTGTTGAAATAAACTCCCTTGATAAAACAAGACAACACTGAAGTAGAGCGGCAAATGAGATGAGGCTGAAATTAAAGCATAAAAATGTGACTTGAATGAAACCTTGTAATAAACCACATTCTGCTGCCACACAGGGGGACGGCAACATCCGCTACTTCGAGATCACCACAGAGAAGCCATACTTACAATACCTAATGGAGTATAGGTCCCCGGCCCCTCAGAAAGGTTTAGGTAAGTCATTTGTTGATTGGTGATATACGATCCTTCCTGTTGAAAGCAGGAAAACAGAGATCTAACCACTTCATTATCTGTGTTGATGGGATGAAGTGGGACAGGATAACATTGGCAATGTTCTTGGTCTCATTACACTCCTGCTCTTATATTGATTTTTTATGGCTGAAAGGATAAAAAGGGTGGATGAATTGAAGTATTCCAAATATTGCAATACATTGATCAGTGAAGTCTCATGTTTTTACATTTTCCTCTGCATTTTTGCACCATACTCTTTGGGTTTGTCTGCAGGAGTGATGCCAAAGCACGGGCTGGATGTGGGATCTTGCGAGGTTTTCCGCTTCTACAAATTAGTAACCCTGAAGGGTTGGATTGAACCAGTTTCCATGATTGTCCCACGAAGGGTGAGTAGCAGTTAAACAAACGAATGGACTGACTATGGTACACTGAGATTCATTCAGACCCTCACAGAGAGGTTAGGTTATGCTTTAAAACAATGAGATGTTTTCCAATTAACTGCAGTATAACACATGGCATGTATTTGTTGTGTTCTGGTTTACAGTCAGACACATACCAGGAGGACATCTACCCCATGACACCAGGAACAGAACCAGCCCTGTCTGCCAGTGAATGGCTGAGCGGCATTAATAGAGGTAAACAACACTTCAGACACACACAGCTTTTACCTTATACTAGTAGTAACACAGTTTAACACAAGCCAGATATACAGTAGATGCAAGTTCACATTGCAGCTGAATGCTGCAGGGGGACAAATTATTTGATGCCTCCATTTGTCTGCATTCTGAGCGTTCTGTACCTTTAAACTTCAGGTACCCAGGATGCCCTGAATGTGGACTAAAAGCAGCATCCCATCCTTTGTCCCCTGCAGCCTTCAGCACAGATAATACAGTATGAACTTGGCACTTGATATCCCTAACATGTGACCATGCAATACTTGGTTACATGTTGACTGCATGGTTGACAATGTCTTTGCAAGGCAAATTGCCCTTAGGGCTATAAAGGCTTCATTCATTAATTCAGGTTATGATCATATCCTCCTGTGTTTGTTGATGTCATTTAAAAACAAGTCAGTAATGCAAAAGGGTTGTAAAAAAATGTATTTACATTAAAACTGTTTTTTTACTTTCGTAAAGGGTCAGTGTCACAACATTGTACACACTCCAAAAGATATTTTTCTCTCATCTAGATTACACAACTTGAACCAGGTTCTATAATGCATTTTATGGTGTCTTTAGACTACATCACCAGCCAGTTAAACATAAACCTAGAGGCTGAGAATGTGTAGAGGAAGTAAAATCCACTCCAACCCACACTTGGCTGCAGAAAATACTTAGTAGAGGATACCTCCTGAATCAGAAAGAGCGGGGGCTGGGGATGACTCATTTGCAAACAACCCAGCAGCTCACACAGGGACGGAACAGACCACAAGTTTGATGATCAGCATACCTGAGGCTTGCAAAGCTACAGCAGGACACAAGGTCGAGAGATGTGAATGCTGCTGGGAAAAGATTAAGAACATAAGGGCAAAAAAAGGGTGACTGAAGAAAGGACAACAGGGACCTTTAGATAGTTAGTTGACTGAAATTCAGTAGCAGTACAAAGGAAAATGTCTACTAGACAACATCTACCCTGCCACCTTGCTGAGAGAGCAGGGCACAGTAGTGCAACCTGAACCCAGGCCAATTCTTAACTGCAATGTTGAAGAAGCCAAGCTTCCCCAAGCAAGCTTGAAGCTTTGCCGGTAAGTCAGTGGACATGCGTGAATACCCTTCATCCTCCACCATCCTGCTGTCCTGCAAAAGCATTTGTTTAGGGAAGGTGAGTCCAGATACACAGCAGCTGGGCAGTGCAAGCAACATCTGATGAGACCTTGTGCATTAATTGGTTTGACTCTATCTCATTTAGATAATGAAGCTATAGTGGCCTGGGAGGATGTAGCAAAGAACGTTTGCAGAGAAGAGATTTAAATGGTAGAAAAGAAAGGTCTGTCCAGCATAGGTAGGCTGTAGAGAACACATCAGCGGGAAAATCTCTGAGGCGGATAGATGCTTGGGGAGAGATCGTACAGGAAGTAGTGAAAGATCCAGAACTGCTTAAAGGACTGAGGGGTTTTTGGACCGAGCCTTGACTCCAAACACGATGTTATGCTTCTACAATAAACAGCTGAAAGACTGAGCTCTCCATCGTTTTCTAGGTGAAAATAATTTAATCCTACTTACCAAACTTTAGTCGCCATCTGGAACATTCTGGTTTGTAGAGTTTGTAGAAGACCTTCGACGGACACATGAACACATGAACACGTGCTAAAAAGCTGACACCATTTTATAGGTTAGACACACAACAGTGGAGACCAATATGCAGAAATACTAAGATCTCTTTGTACCTTTTGTTGGTTTTTTCGGCCTTGGTTCAGAGTGTGCCCTTCTTTGTCCAAACAGACCCAGTCTTGATATCCCTAAAGGAAGGTTACCAGCGTCCAAACCAACTAGTGTTCAAGGCTCCAGTGAAGGAAAAGAAGAGTGTGGTGGTGAATGGGATCGACCTGCTGGAAAACGTACCGCCCCGGACCGAGAATGAGGTACATAAGAACTATTGTGAATTTGTCTACAAAGTGACTATAACTTTACTCTGCTGTTCCGCCAAAGAAAAAAACCCTACTTGAACAAGTTTAAGCTTTAAGGAATCAGACCATTACAACTAGTAAACAAACTACCGGCAGCAATATGAATACGGATGTTGGAGTATATATAGAAAAAGGACTTCTATTTGTCTTGGTTATATGTGATGTTTCTGAGAAGGACTCGGGTAATTGTACTGCATATTATATCCATTATGTCACGCATCCACAAAGAGGAGCTCTTATAGCTAATATGGATCCAGAAATCAAAAACAATATGAAAAATGAGAAGTATGTAGGCTGGACTAATTGGTTTACAACTTGACTTGAAAAGGTTTTCCATCCTTGAATATCTGTCCTCTCTGGACTGCATCTTTTCATTTTTGTGTTGTTGTTGTGACTGACATGAGTTTCCCTTGGTCTTTTTACATACGTAGCTCCTGCGGATGTTCTACAGGCAGCAGGATGAGTTGCGGCGGCTGAAAGAGGAGTTGACCACCAAGGATGTGCGAATACGTCAACTGGAGCTGGAGCTAAACAACCTGAATAACGTTAGCCCCAACAACGTGTGACCTCTCAGCCTCCTGAACTGACGAAGCTGCTTCCTTTTGCCCCCAAATCTGACCTCCGACAAGCTTCTGAGCCCTCCCATCTCTCCCTTTTGATATGTCATAAGTTCATTCATGCTGCCCTGCGTAGTGCATACAGTAATACGATACATATTCGATTATGTCTTAACTGATGCAAATACTGGAATATTATAATTAATAAGATAAATAATGTAAGCAAGGCAGTGTTCATGGATTGCCAGCCCAAGATGAAATCAATGATCAATCTTAGATATAGTGAGGTTTTATCTGTTTTTTGATAACTTAATATTCTTGATCAAACACACTCTCTTGTGTTATGATCAGCTGCTGCATATTTTCTGCCAGACCTCCTGTGTGTTTGCCTCTCTATGCCTAGCCTATGATTCATGTGGTTACACACAGGCAAAGGAGCCTCAACACTCATCCTTCTATTATGACCAAACCATCATCTCATTATTTGCTGGGGCAAAAACTGGAGGATAAAAGACTGGCAGTGTCTGGCACTTACTTTTCTTCCCCAAGGCCTTAGACCCTGCTGCAGACACAGATTGCAGCAAGCTGCTGCTGCATCCTCTCAAAATGGCTGATGTGAAGTCATTTTGCAAGATGAGATGGGCTTTTGCAGTCATGGATCCTGTTTTTCCTCAGAGCTGCTTATCCTTTATTGCTACTTTCACCCACAACTATTGCTGGTTATAAATGGACTTCACAATGCTGCTCAACAGCTACTCACATGCAGTCTTTCTTCCCAAGGAGAGCGGATAGTTCGCTCACTCAAAGTATTTCTATTCTTTATTTAAAAGGTGGGAAAGCGGCAGAGAAGACGGCGATCCAGAGACGGTGGACTTTTATAACTACTCCATTATAGTCTCAAGGGAGCTTTGCAGGCTTTTGGTTTTTAGGGCTAATTTTTGAGGATGGGGGGGGGGTAGTGTACATTTGCTTCTATTTATTTGTCATATTTGACCTTTCTAGCAAATAACATGTATATTTGTTAATCCCATTGTTTTTGTAAGATGTGGCTGCGCAAGTAATGATTGTGACGCTTGATAGATTTTGCTGAATGTTTCTGGTTGAAATGGTGCAAGAGTTATGTGAAACTGTACCCTAAACAGTGTTCGGTCTTTGACCCTCAACATCATACCTTCAGATAGGGTATAAAAATATTCTCTTGCCTATTCCTAACAGTACTAAAGACTGTCATAATAGCCATCCTTTTACATTTAAACTACATATATCACCATTACTAAGATGTGCTAACCTGTAAATGTGTCATTTTTCTCTAGCGACTCCAGGTCATCTTCCTCTCCTTCTCCACATGTACCACCACAAGACTTAGGCTGAATTTCAGTTTATGCCTTTGTTCTACTTCTACTACTTTTTTTTTGCTGCAGTCTGACATTTAAGAGAAGTGGGGACTGGCTTAGCATTTGACTCTACTGTGTTAACCAGGCTCAAGCAGTTCCAGAAAAAGATCCTGCCTGACATTCATTGTGTTTTTCAATCCAGTGCCCATCACAGTCAGACATGTCTCATTATGGAACAAGAAAGGAATAAGATAAACAGACTCTATGCTGGGCAAAAGGTGGGAGTTTATGGATAGAGAAAGTCGAAAGTAAGTTAAGGAATGAAGGTCACAACTTGTTTGTTGTGGAACAGGTGTTCCTCACAATCTAAAAAACTAGACGTAGAACCTCTGACTCGTGCGGCTAACGTGTACATTTCTTGCAGGGAAAAAAAAGGCTACAGTGAAAGTAGACAGGGAGAGAAGGATCCAGCAGCAATGGATCATCTACAGAAGAGAGACAGTTGAAGTTGCAGCAGGAATTGAGCTTTGTCAGGTGCTTTTGTTTACTGAGGACTTAAGTTAACTACACGATTCATTGAAAGGTAGGAAAACATGACTGTGCTGCATTTTAATGCTTTTAGAGCTACTGGATCTCTCTCAGTAGATTAAACCTGATTACCTTGTTGGGAGACGAGCCAATCACAGCAGTGTGTTGCTTAGTTGGGTCTACTGTAGTAATTGAACGTATGACATCTTTCTCTGCTGAAAAGTGCGTCCTGGATCAGGAGAACAAGTGAAGACTGGAACTGGATACATTTGACCATGTTGCTCGGTTACAGAAGGACCACAGACTTCAAAACATATATAAAAGGGATTTATTGAAGTGAATGGGAGGACAAAAAGAAACAATTTGGCTGATGACAGTGGATTTAACATGGAGTGAAAAATCACTGAGGTAGGCCAATTTGACCGTCGGGTATAATCATGAAAGCAAAGTCCAAATAACTGACTTTTACCAGAGTTTACACTTTGAAACAATAAATTTTCAATGCACATACGTTTCTGTTGTAACCTCCATTTATATCAAGCACTTCTCTACTCTACCATCACAAAGTCAAGCGTTGCCAATGCCACCACCTGTGTGTGTCACAGAAATGAACATGGAGAAAGCGGTAATGAGCTCTGACACTGAACAGTTGTCTTTATGGAAAGATTATGCATACAAAGTTATGTTCAAATTCTCAAGAAATGTCACTGCGTATGTTAAGATAAAGCAGCATACATATTTAATATCTTATTACAATTCATAGTTTCACCTCAGTTGTCTGTTAGATGTCTGCCGTCATCAAAGAGAATACAAAAAAATAGATTTGGTCATTATTTACAAGAACACGTAATTTCCGAACTATCAAAGCTGAGGGTTTAAAGGAGGAGGAGCAGCTTCGACAAGGGCAGACATTTTTTTTTTTTTTTTTTTTGCTATGAGTTAAAAATATGCCCTGTGAGGGTCACACTGTGCATGTTCAGACACAAGTTTCACACCAGGACAGCAGAGAGTATTGGCTTACTGGTGACACTACAAATACATAAATTACATTTAAAAAAAAAAAAAAAAAGAATGCAAAAATTAATTTAAGACGAGGAGAGAACAGCCATACATGAAATCCAGTAGTTGACTTTAAAATGTATTAAGACATGCACTCTTTTTTTGTTTTTGTTTCATTTTGTCGTTTTCTTTTGAAGGGGGGTCTCAAAATACACAAGTCATCAGAAACAGGTCTTACACAAACGGTGAGAAAACAACATTTCTTAAAAAGGTTCATCGTTGCTGTTATTCGAGATTACAAAAATTGGTGTCCACAAAGCAGTTAAAAGTGGACCGTAAAGACTGGAACATGGGAGCATACATAAATTTAGCTTGTTTCTCCAAACAACCCCGTCTACCTGACTGGCCATTAACAAAAAACCACTCCTACTGCAATATGAAACTGGGGGAATAATACATAGGGCTGTTGGGAAGTGACTGGGAGATACAATTATTTAAACAGTTCACAACTTAGCTTCAATAGGACTCTCAATCGTCTTCATCTTCCTCCCCTTCTTCGTCGAGTTCCCTTTTTCTCTTCTGACCCCGCTCTTCTTCTAGAAAACAGGAGTCATGGTTAATAATACAACATCAACAATCTGGCACGTAGAGGTTTCCTGATAAACTTCTCCTTCAGGTTTCCTGACAACATGATGTCTCAAACTGTAAACAGTTTTCATGCAAGAGGACAGATTTACAACGCTTGGTGATGGACAATAAAGATTTTCTGAATGAACCAAGTGCCAAACATGTACTGTGTTTTAACAGGTGTTATGTAGTGTGTTGAAAAGAGACTGTATGAAGGGTTTGATTTTAACACAATGGAAAGTGTAAAGGGAATAGAGGAGTCTGGGTGGAGTCATGACGAACGGATGGGGCTGAAACAAGTTCAGAAACGTGAAAGAAAAACTACAGATTTTTCCCAAAAACATTTTACTATCTCTAAAAATTCTTTCACTAATCTCATTCTCAGCTTGCTGTTTGATTGCATTCGCACGATGCAGGTACAGTATATCATCGTCAACTGTGTAAAAACAGTTGAGGTTTGTTTTTTTTGACCAACTTTTAAGCAGGACTGGCATGCAAGTGCATAAGCATACAAGTCAAACTGTATTTATGAAAATGAGCAAGTAGAAAAAAAGTTATAAAAGATAGAGACCTCATACCCATATACATGCTTATTAAATGGTGTCAAAATACACACAACACGCGTGACACACAAATTAAAAGCTTAGCCATAACCGAAGAAAAATAAGGTTTTTAATCTCCTTTAAAAATGTATAGTGTTGGAAGCCCTGCCCAGGTCCTCAGTCAGTGTGTTCTACCTATTTGATGCATAAAAAACTGACAGCAGCCTCCCCATCTTTGGAGTTTGTTCCTGAGACGGTCAAAAGACCTCTGCCTGTTGACCTGAGAGCTCTAGCTGGTGTGTAGCTGATAAGTATATGTACGTGTGTATGCCTCGAGTATATAAGTATGTTACAATCAATCATGTAGCTGGCCATTGAGGAAGAAGGAAATCTTGATTGTTTTTACAACTTGATACAAATACCTACATACCTTCTGCTTCTCCTCAAAACGTTTTGTAATACACAAAGAAAGGTGTTAACTTCAAGTAAAATTGGATGTACAGCTACAATTTTAGATTTGTATATAGAACCTTTTAAGGGTTTAATTTGGAGAGAAATTCTTTCAACATGTTTCTGACACGTTAAGAACACACATTGTGTTTTGTGTGAGTATAATGTGTAAAGAAGTGTCGAGTTTCTACGGTCTATATTAGCACGTGGTACGGCTTAGGAAAGAGCTTCTGTGTTAAAGTCAGCAACCACTCTACTCACCTTCATCATCTTCATCATCAACCTCTTTGTCATTCAAATCTTCCTCCTCTTCCTCCTTTTTGGAAAACCAAAGACAATGCTGTTAATATCATCCATACAGATACAAATTCTCCTGAAACAGAAGGTATTTGCTGTCATCCCACCTCTCCACTGAGGTCCTCCTCTTCTTCATTCTCCTCTTCATCTTCCTCTCCTTCCTCCTCCTCCTCATCTCCTGGTGCTGTGTCTTCATCATACTCCTCCTCATCTACATCAGGAGGAAACCAGTAAACATTGGCCAGTTGTTAAAATGCCCACATTAGCACGTTTAAAAGGTTCTTGAACGGACTAAGCTGTTCAGCTGGTGTGTTTGAATCACTGTTTCGCTCTAGCTTTGAACATACCATCATCATCATCCTCATCGTCATCCAGGCCCTCAGGGTAAACCTCAGTGTCAGAATCTGGAGCCTCTTTGTCGTCTTTGTCGTATCCGTCCAGGTACGTGAGCTGCGGTAGTAGCTTGAACACGTTGTCTCTGTATTCGTTCAGGTTTGTCACTTCACAGTTAAACAGATCTAAGCTTTTCAGGGTGGCCAATTCTTTCTGTCAGAAGAAACAGGAAAAAAGATAAATGAATAATACAGCCTGCTGGTTTTACACTGTGCTTACATTTATTCAGGCGACACTTACCAATGGTTCTATTGTGCTGAGGTCTTTGATTTTGTTTCCGCTGAGGTTGAGATTTGTGAGGTTGGGGCATTTGGCTGCCAGAACTTCCAACCCTCCTGAGATCCTGTTATCGCTGAGTTCAAGCTGTGGATCAATTCAAACAATCAAATTCTGTAAAAAAATAAAACCTTAAAAGACATTTTACACTTGCACAAAACTTCCTGAAATTTTTTCCGTTCCGGTAAATGATTAGCGTGAAGTCAGGGTGAGGTGATGTATGAACGCAGCAGGAAATATTCAGGAGAATTCAGAGCGAGCTAGTGGGAAAGTGTGATGACGTTTAAATTCAGCGACTGGCCCCACAACTTTAGACTGTATGTGCGCTACCATCTGTGCGATCTCTACTCACGTAATCAAACTGCTTCATTCAGTTCTCTGTTCCTTTTTGTTGATATTACTGTGTGAATGTTTTAAACAACACATTGCATTGATATACAGGCCGCTGCATCTTTATAGCATTAGCCACATCCATGTTGTTCTTTTCTACCCCCACACCACCACCACCCCGGTCAGACAGGAAATGAAAACTGCATATCTGAACAAGCAACTCAGAAATAGTTTAGGGTCAGTCTGCCTGAATTTCTTTTTTTTTTTTTCAGGAGTGCATATGTGAAAACAACTGGAGAGACTCATTTGTTGTAGAAAACACCCACCTTTTTGAGTTTATTTAACTTGGGCAAGTGGGCGACTGTCGTCAGTCCAACGTTGATTGTGCTAAGAAATTCCAGCTCCTCGAATTCGTCTGTTAGTCCCTCAATCTTTCCTTCATTCGAGCGACAGTTGTCTAGCACGAGTTCTTTGACCTGTAGAGAAAACAAACACATGTAATCACCGTATGTAAAATTAAAGAATTCTATTTTAAAACAGGACAAATCATAAAACCGACAAACGCAAAGTGCAAGAAAGTTTTCATGCAGTCTTGCCAGTTCAATATTCTGTCAAAGGTAATGTAGTGTTTTGCATATAAAATCCTTTCTTTCTCTGTGCATGGGATATCTACAGCTTGATTCAAGTAGGCTTAATTTCCTGACAAACCCCCTAATACAATAAAGGGTTTGATAAGATATCTCACAGTTCATTTACTTTTCTCCCCTTTAAACTTCTATTCCTCTGAAAGAAAGATACTCTCCTCTGCACTTCTCATCTTCATTTATATGTCCACTATTTGTTTTATAAACTTATTAGATGAAGTAGCTTTGTGAAAGTAACTAGGTGTTTACCTAAGTACTTTGTGTGAATTTTTAGTGTCCACACTCCAGATTAGTTACATGTTACTCAACACATTAAACGCAAATAAAATAAATAGTTTGACATTCAGATTATTTTTTTTAATAAACCACACAAACAATCGTGGAAAACATATTCAGCACATTATCTTTAATTATTATATAATTTAATTCAACCTTTATTAATACTCAAAAGATCATTGAGGGGCAGCCCGCCTTTACAATGACATTGAGTCATTACAGAATCAATTAATGTATTCATCATACCTAATTAAAACAGTTCCACTTGAACCAAATAAAGAAAAAAACGATTATATTAACAAATAGTTTTAATACTCAAATGTTTATACAATATAAAACCCAATAACAAGTTTATTTTCTGCTATATTATTACGACCCTTAGTATCGTCATATAGGGCCTACTACAGTGTAAGCGTTTAAGTGATATCGACTGCGCAGTAATATTTACGTAATTAGTCTAATATGTGGTGACAGGTGTGCAGATTAATATTCTACCGCGGTTCTGTACGTAACTCAACCAATCAGCAGTGAGAACCGGAACTATAAAAAAAAAATACAGTATATTAATAAATCATAGGCACGTTTCTACACTCAGGTATCGCGATGAATTAATTGACTGTCCTTTCATTTGGGCAAGTATGAAATTAATCTCACGTTTTAAGATGAAAACAAACACTTCAAAATGCGTTTACTTTTTTTTTTTTTTTTTTATTGCAAATCAGTCGATGGTTAAGACGCAGAGAAGCTTTGAATGTGAACGGTTGTGTGCAGCGCAGAAACACACGAGTGAAAACAAGCCGAACAGAGCTACGAGTCGTGCACAGGGTCATTTGTGAGTAGGAGGGGCAGCTGAGGCAGATTAGATAGCTGCCAGGCAAAACGTTTCATTGTTGCGTGTGCTAAACTGTTGCCGATTTGGATTGATGGCGTGTGTAGACTTCTGTTAATATGAAGGTATGATGTATCGTTCAGTCCTTTGTGTCGAATAAAACGGAGTTATTCGGTGTATTTTGATCGCCTTTGTTTCTCGGTAAAATGGCGGCTTGTCCTAGATCTGGAAAACTAGAGCAACAACGCGGCTCAACACTTTGTTTTCATTTCGGCTGATTATTTCTCAAAAAAAAAAAAAATAATAAAAAAAAAAAAAAAACAAATGCACGCCGGTCAGTAAATGTCGAGACGGGCGTGTTTAAAGTCGACCGTGTCCCGTGTTTGCACCCAGCACTGGAGGCAGG